TTTGCCTTACCTATATTTTCCAGTATTTCACTAATAATTTTGAATTGTTTTTAAAATAAAACGTATAATTTATTTTAGAGGCTGACCAGCTTAGTTCAGTTGATTAGAGCATAGTGCTGATAACACCTAGGTCGAGGGCTTGATCCCTGTACCAACCAGCCACACACACACACACACACAGAGAGAGAGAGAGAGGGAGAGAGAGAGAATTTATTTTAAATTGCAAAAGAGAAAATAAAATTTATGCAGTGCCCATCTATTCTTGTCACCTAGCTTAAGACAGCTGTGCTACAGAGGGAGGATGAATGGTGTGGAGGAGAGAGCACAGGCCTCAGAGTCAGGGAGGTTTGTTGAGATCTTATCTCTGCTCCCGACCAGCTGGCTGACCTGGAGTATGACAGTTCTTAAACCTCAGTTTCTTCATCTCTAAATGGGGACAGAGGGGGCCAGCCCATGGCTCATTCGGGAGAGTGTGGTGCTGATAACACCAAGGCCACAGGTTCAGATCCCTATGTAGGGATGGCTGGTTAGCTCACTTGGGAGAGCGTGGTGCTGACAACACCAAGTCAAGGGTTAAGATATCCCCTTACCAGTCATCTTTTAAAAAATAAAAATAAATAAATAAATAAATAATAATAAATGGGGACAATGGTAGCTATATGTCACACAGCAGTAATGCTGGATTTGCAAAGAAAGGGCTGATGACGTTGTAGAGGAATGACTGGGGGCTCTAGCACAAGCACAACCATTATGACCTGGTTCCAATGGAACCTGAAATCGTGTTTTGTCCTGGGGAAGCATAACGTAGGAGACCAAGTCTCCCTTTTTCTGGTCAGACAGAAGAGATGGCCTCTCCAGGATCCACAAAGAAATATCTGGTGTCTAGCCAACCAGGAAGACAACAAGGAGGCAGGCATCTTGCTCACTGCACTCCCTACATCATCTTAACCCTCACCACCCTGTAAGGTAGGGTTGGGAGTCTCACAGAGATCCCATTCCTTAAACTAACTGGTGGCAAAACTGGAGTTCTAGCTCTGATCTCCAAATCCAAGCCTGGTTCTTTTTTCGTAAACAGTGCTGCCCCTCCCCACTTCCCCTTCACTGCCCACCTTACTGGAAGAAGAGGTATGGCAGCTAGGGGGTCTCAGGGCTTGACATGTATGAGGCTGAGGACCTGGATTTAGGGGTGATCTCCAGCTCTTCCCAGGTTTTCAGGGCAAGGCATTTCCCCCTCATGAGGGCACTGAGAAAAGCTAAAGTTCTTTCTATTTTAGAAGAACTCTAGGGCCAAGATTATGGATTCTGTAAAAAGGAAAACAAAAACAAGCTGCAGCCAAGCGGACAGGAGGCATGGCCGTGATGTATCAGAGTCCTTTATCCTCTCAGGGTTTCAAAGCCTGCAGAGGTGGACTAGGATTCCAAAATCTTGGGTCTCCTTTTCCTTTGACGACCTCCTTTCTCGAGATAGAAGGGGAATCTTCCTCCTTTTTCTGAATGGAAAATGAGGTCTAGGACAGTGGAGAGTACTCAGCGTGAGAGCCCAAGATTTAGACAGAGCGTCCAGCCTCTGAACTCAGCCCCCCAGACCACTAGACAAGCAGCGCAGCATTGAGATTCTTCTGTTAGAACAGGAGGGTGCTAGAGAGAATGCAAAGGGGTGAGCTTCCCCCACTCTACCCTACAGCCTCCTTAGGGGGCACTCTGGGAACCACCAGCAAAGCAGAGAATCTCTTAGCAGAAACTGAATTAGGGTCTCCTGTGGTGTCCAGAGCCTGCTTCCCTGACAGATGCACAGTCAATACTAGGTAAATATGGTTAACAGAATGACTGACAGAGATAACCACCCCTCCTGTCACATCGCTGCCCTTCCCCCCATGCTCTGCATAATTGATGACCAGGGAGACAGCTCCCCTCCCCCAAGGTGACCAAATGTCTGGGCCAGGGCCTCATAGCCATGCTGTACCCCCAAAGCCCTGGCACAAAGGACCAGAGGGGAGCAGTGGGACACAGCTGGCAGGTCGGGAGTAAAGGAAACAGAAAGGGGTGTGTGTGTGTGTGTGTGTTTGTTTACTGGGAGGGAGGAAATCTCTAGTTTTACCATAGCTCCCTGGGGCTTCAGCTTTCCCCCAACTCCTTCAGGTCAATCTGGAAGTGTCATTAGCCTGAAAATGGGGTGGGTTAAGCCTGACTAGATTCCCTACCTTTCGCTTGGTCCCATCTCCTACTTCTTCAGCTATTCTCACTGCCCTTAAAGACAAACAGGTGAAACGGCTTCTCTCTTTCTCTCCCCAGCCACTGGCCCTGGATACCAGAAGGGCCTCTGGGGAAGCCTGGTGAACTGGAGGGAGGTTTGGCTGCAAGTGTCTCTGAGCATGTCACCCTTTCTATGCCTAAACCTTCTAGTTGCCAAACCACCAGATGACAGCTGAAAAATTCCTTTAAAAAGCCAGGTGTTGTGCCTACCCAAAGCTCAGCTTCTAGGCAGAAAACGAATTGGGGAGGGGATAGATGCTATCCGTGTTTTTCAGTCCCCTTTCATCTCCATTTTTTCAGGGTCCTCCTCTGCTTTTCAAAACCAGCTTTTCAATCCATCCTTCTCCCCTTTGACTCTCCCTGCGCTTCATTCTGGTCTCTGTATGTTTCTCGGCTAAGTCCCTCCTTCTCTGGTTGTGCCTTTCACCCTTTCTGTGTCCTGCCTCCCCATCTCTCCATTTCCTGCTTTCCTTCTCTGTGGCACTGCACCCCCAACACCAACACCACGAGTCCCCTCCCTCCAACACCAATCCTCCACACGACGCCTGGGCCAAAGATTTGTCTGCATGCAGAGTCGGGGAAAGGTGCGTAAGGAGAGAAACACAGATAGGGCAGACCGCTGGATCTGAGATCCACACCCATGATCACCGTAGCCATCCCAGCAACCAGCCACATGGGTCTACCCGGGTCAGGGGCCGGGCAGGGCCCAGGCTCAGCCCCGCCCCCGCGCCGCGCTCACGTGACCCTGGGCTAATCTTGTCCTGGTGACTTCACGCGCCGCCTCGGGCCCAGTCGTCATGGTTACGCCGCAGCGCCCAGCGCTTTCCCTATCCTACTGTGTCCTCTCCCCTTCCCCACCCGGACCCCCTCCTCTGGCCACCCCTACCCCTACCCCACCCACAGCCACGCGCCACGTGACGGTCGGGAAGGAGGTCGGGTGGGGGAAGGGGCATTGTGGCCTTACTCCCCGCTTCTTAATGGCCCTGACAGGCATCGGGAATCCATTGATGGTGGCCTAGCTGTCCAGCGGGAGGCCTTTGCTCCTCCCCGAGCTCCCCAATCCCGGCATCCCTCCCTCCTGTCCTCCCCAGGCGAGAGCGTCTGAGGGCCGCCGACCTTGGTTCTGGGTGGTCCAGAAGGGAAGCCTGGGCTTGGGGCGGGGCAGGCGAAAGCTTGGCCTGTGACTGAGTGTAACTTGTATTACAATCCACACCTTACCTCTTGAGCAGCAAATATCTCGTGGGTTATGTTGGAAATTCGGAGGCTGGACTTAACTGTGATTACGACTTTCTGGGCTTCAGTTTTTTCGAGAATGTAATGGGACCAATGATAATACCTCCCTCACTGGGCTGTTCTGAGGATTAAGGGAGCTAATGTATTTACTGTGTGTGTGATCCTTAAGGCGATTCTCCGGGGTGGGTAGGGCTGTGGCTCCACCTCACCATACATCTCTTTGCGTGCCAGGTGCTGTTGGAAGACCAGGGATTGCTCTAAAGCAGTCCAGGCTTTCAAAGGAACGAGACGACTGACCACACTCTCCCTCCAGTGTAATGGGAGCCATGATAGAGAAAGCACACGGGGCTGTTCCAGCCCAGAATGGGTATTAACCTAGAGCGGGTTGGGACAGGAAGACTTCCAGGATGAAGTGAGACTTGGAAGGCAAGATGCGGATGAGAAGTGCCTTCAGGCAGAGCATGCCTAGGAGTGAAGCTTGAACTTCGAACTAGCCATGGCACCATGGACAGGTTATTTAATACCTCTATGCCTTAGTCTGTAAAATGGGGCTAATAATGCCCACCTTATAGTTTTGAGGAATAAATGCACTAATGCATCTATACCAAAGGCTGGCATGCATGGTAAAGCTTTCACAAAAGTTAGCCATTATTATGGTGCCCTGGCTCAAAAGCCTGATGTAGCCTGGTGTTGGGCTAAGGCCTGGGTACCAGTAGCAGTGGGAGATGAGGCTGGGGAAGCCAGAGGGGCTAGAGCATGGAGCTGAGCTACTGGACCAAGAGCAGTGGGCCATTGAAGAGTTTGAAGCAGAAGAGGGAGTGATGGCCCATTTTGTTTTAGAAAGATCCTTCTGAAGGCTAGGTGTAGAATGGAGCGGGGAAGGATTTTGAAACCAGTTGTCCTGGGCCAGGTGATGACAGCTAATGAGGTTCTAACTGAGGCAGTAAAACTAGTAATGAGACTAAAGAGAGAATAGAATGGCATTGAGTCAGAGCTTTTCAAATGTGCCAGTCATATCACAATAATAATCACCTGAGGTGCTTGTTAAATATGCAGGTTCCAAGCCTACCCATATGCGCTGAAAAAGTCTTCAAGGGAAAGGTATGTAGATTGTTACAAGAACTGAAACTATCAGTTTCCTAAACCTCCTTGTATATCTGCATTTTCACCCAGCGAGCTCTTATGTATGTGTAGATTCCTGCCACCCCTCTTCCATTAACTGAGAATGTATGGTGTTCATTCCCAGTAGACTGTCGCAGAGACTGAAGGACCCTACTATGAGGAACAGAGGAACAATTAGAGGGATTCTTTTTTTTCTTAAGCCTACCTCACCCAGTATTCCCAGGCAGTCTCCCAGCCAAGTACCAACCAGGCCCACCCCTGTTTAGCTTCTGGGATCAGACAAAATCGGGCATGTTCAAGGTGGTATGGCCATAGATTTTTTTTTTTTAATGAGTGGGATTCTTGTTCTGAGGGATCCTCATATCTCAGAATTTGGTAACTAACTAAATGTGCAGGGAGATGGGAGACCAGGATGATTTCCAGCATTAAGTTCTGGACAAGTCTGGTATAGGTTGAAGAGTATGCTGTACCTGAGAGAGAACAAGTTTATCCCTTTGCATAGCCGGAGAAACTGAGGCTCAACTAGAGCTTGCCTGAGGTTACATAGCCATTGAGTGGCAGGGCAAGTCTAGGATTCAGGTTTTTTAATTGTTGCTGTTTAAATAGCAACCATTTAATTGGGACAAATCTCCATTGCCTGGTAAGCTGGGTTTTGGCTTGGGAAGCTCAGAATGGGTTGGTGAAGGAGAGAGGAGACAGAGCCTCCTTTGACACCCAGGAGAGCATCTGGACTGATGGGAGGGCTAAGGGGTATGAAGCAGTAGGCTACAGATTGTTCTGACACAGCTTCTGCATCCCTATTGGATGGTTTTGCTTTTTTCACGAACTGTGCTGGAGGGATAGCAAAGTTGTATAGTTACAGCCTTCACTTACCTTGAGAGGCCTGGGTGTGTACCTGTGAGCACCTGAGAGTAGGGCCCAGGTGTGGTTCCTGAGTGTGTCTTAAGATAAGGCTGTCCCGAGTTGAGTGTTCCTGAGAGGACTCATAATTGGTATTATGTTTAAATACTTGAGTGTGAGGCCCAGTGCCTCACTTGTATATGTCAGAGGCCCAGGAGCATTATCTGAGGGTGCCTGAGCAGGTCTACCAGTGTCGTGTGTGCACATTTCAGTGTGAGAGAAGTCTAGGTATGTTACCAGTGTGTGCCCGAGTCTGAAACCCAAGGTAAAGGTGTCTGAGAGACCCTCATCTGTCTGCATCTATGTGCACCCATGAGCCTCAGATGAGAGAAATATGTACTGCAGTGGTGGGTTACAATAATCTTACAAGAAGGGAACTAGTCTGTTACCATTATGCTGGAGTTTAAGATATATTTTACCTGAGTGGGGCCATGTCCTTATGGGATCCTTCTCCCTGTCTCCCTGCGTTTGAGATCTGTTGGACAGCCCTACCTGATTCACCAGATGTTACTTGTGTCTACCTGTGAATGATATTCAGGTATGTTACTTGTATACCTAAGTATTACTTGTGTTACTTACAGATGCCTAAGAGGAAGCCCAAGTGTGTCAGGTTTCCTAAGATGGGTACAGCTGAAACTTGGAGGGGGATGAGCACTTGAGGATGAGGCTCAAGTGTTACCTCCAGCAGGGTTATTATGAGCCCAGCTCCCCAAACCTTGCCTTGGGGTGAGCATCCTGAGTTGGCACCTGCAGCTTTGACAGCCCTTCCCTCCTTTGTTCCCACAGGGCCCACCGCTCACCACTACACTGGGGCCCAGAGGTCATGGCCTGCCTTCATGAGACCCGCACACCCTCCCCTTCCTTTGGGGGCTTCGTGTCTACCCTAAGTGAGGCGTCCATGCGCAAGCTGGACCCAGAAACTTCTGACTGCACTCCTGAGAAGGACCTGACACCTACCCAGTGTGTACTTCGAGATGTAGTACCCCTCGGTGGGCAGGGCGGGGGTGGGCCCAGCCCCTCCCCAGGTGGAGAGCCACCCCCTGAGCCTTTTGCCAACAGTGTCCTGCAGCTACATGAGCAGGACACAGGGGTCCCAGGGGGAGCCCCTGGGTCACCTGAAAGTCGGGCGTCCAGAGTTCGAGCTGATGAGGTGCGGCTGCAGTGTCAGAGTGGCACTGGCTTCCTTGAAGGCCTCTTTGGCTGCCTGCGCCCTGTCTGGACCATGATTGGCAAAGCCTACTCCACTGAGCACAAGCAGCAGCAGGAAGGTAGGCCATGTCCTTGTGGGAGCCCTCTCCCTGTCTCTCTGAGCCTGAGATCTGTTAGACAGCCCTAAGTCACCTGATGATCCCGTCCATCTCCATGGCCCAGCCCTAGTCCCTTTTCCATCCATCAGCCTCTAACTTCCCAGCTTCTTCTGAGGCCATCCATTCATTTCCTTACTTGTCTCCTCAAACCTAATCTCCTCAGCCTATTCTGGCTACTTTTCTGCCTTGCCCTTGAGTCATTCCAACCAACTCAGTGCTGTCCCATCCCTCGCCTTGATTCATCACAAGGTCTTGAGTACAACTCTTTTTGAGCCTTGTGGCACTGTTCCTCTTGCCCACAGACCCTTGGGAGATCCCATTTGAGGAAATCCTGGACCTGCAGTGGGTGGGCTCAGGGGCCCAGGGTGCTGTCTTCCTGGGGCGCTTCCATGGGGAAGAGGTGGCTGTGAAGAAGGTGCGAGACCTCAAGGAGACCGACATCAAGCACCTAAGAAAGCTGAAGCACCCCAACATCATCACCTTCAAGTAAGGTCCAGGGCAGGGACGGGGGGCTGGTGATACTATGCTGAGGCCTGGGACCCTCCCAAGCAGTGGGACCTACTCCATCCTTCCCAGAAGAGCCCCACAACTGGCAGAGGTGGGAATGGGTTTCCAAGTGTGAATCAGGTGAATGCTAAGCTGGCTGAGGCTTCATACCACTGTGTTCCGCCCACAGGGGCGTGTGCACTCAGGCTCCCTGCTACTGCATCCTCATGGAGTTCTGTGCCCAGGGCCAGCTGTATGAGGTTCTTCGGGCTGGCCGCCCTGTCACCCCCTCCTTGCTGGTTGACTGGTCCATGGGCATTGCCGGTGGCATGAACTACCTGCACCTGCACAAGATTATCCACAGAGACCTCAAGTCCCCCAAGTAAGTAAGCAAGCAAGCAGGGAGAAGCTGCTGTGCATGCAAATGACCCACCCAAGTCAGTGTGGCCATCTCCCTGCTTACAGACCCTGCCCTGCATCCATGTGGCTATCTCAGAAACCTCCTCCAAGTGACAATCCTAACTTGGGAGGGCTGTGGTGAGCCCCTTACCTTTGGGTGTCCCAAATGATTTTTAAAAGTTCAATAAGGTATGGGGAGGGCCATGGACTCCAGCTGACTACACTCTTTACCAGCATGCTAATCACATACGACGATGTGGTGAAGATCTCAGATTTTGGCACTTCCAAGGAGCTGAGTGACAAGAGCACCAAGATGTCCTTTGCAGGGACAGTAGCCTGGATGGCCCCTGAGGTGATCCGCAATGAGCCTGTGTCTGAGAAGGTCGACATCTGGTGAGGGCCAGGCTGAGGACTGAGAAGAGTGGGTGGTCAGTCAGCACAGGGTTGGAGTGGGGACTTTCAGGGTTTGAGCACAAGTGACATGGGTTTGTAGCAACCAGGGCCTCTGGAAGGAGCCCTTCCCAAGAGATGTCCCCTTTTATCCCCAGGTCCTTTGGTGTGGTGCTGTGGGAACTGCTGACTGGTGAGATCCCCTACAAAGATGTAGATTCCTCAGCCATCATCTGGGGTGTGGGAAGCAACAGTCTCCATCTGCCTGTGCCGTCCAGCTGCCCAGATGGCTTCAAAATCTTACTTCGCCAGTGCTGGTAAGAATGGCCTGTGCTGAGACTGAGCTTGGTGAAGGTGACAAGCAAGGGGTGTTGCTGATGGACAGCCATCACCTAGAACCCAGGCATCCAGGCCCAAAATCCTTAACAAGGAAAGGAACTCAAGAGGTTCCAGATATGGTTCTCCAAAAACCCAGGATCCAGGATGTGGTTCAAGTCTACAATCTAGAACTGAGAGAGGCTGAACTAGCTGATAATCTGTAGGGGTATGTTACATTCAAAGATTGCATCTGAATTGGGCTTATGCTACCTTCTGAGTTGAGTGACCTTGGGCAAGTGGTATCACCTCTGAGCCAGTTTCTTCATCTGTAAAATTTGGGTAACAATATCTGCTATCCAGTACCAAAGAGTACACAGAAGTACCTGGAAGGAGCAGCGTAAGCACTGAGCATAATGGATTGATCCTCAAATAGACTAACTTAGAGTGCAGGAGGGTAAGGCCATGGACCCTCATATGGAACCTAGATGCTGACAGAAAGTTAAAGATTCCTAATCTGTCATTGAGCATTTCCCAAAATGTTTCTTTTTTTTTTTTTCTTTTTCTTAAAAGATGACCGTAAGGGGATCTTAACCCCTGTCTTGGTGTTGTCAACACCACGCTCAGCCAGTGAGCTAACCGGCCATCCCTATATGGGATCCAAACCCGTGGCCTTGGTGTTATCAGCACCACACTCTCCCGAGTGAGCCACGGGCCGGCCCCCCAAAATGTTTCTAATGGAGTTATTCAAAAAAGTTTTATTTTGGCAGACAAGTTGGAAAATATGGGGTTAAACAGGTTTCCTTTCTGCAAGACTTTGATATGCTTAACAAATAGAGCATATAACATTTATTTCCTAGAGAGTTCACCATGGAATTATTTTGTCAGAGTACATTCTAGGATTGAATTCTCTAGGACACACTTTGAGAAAGGATGCTCTAGTTCCTAGCTGGTCCCTGAAATTCCTCTCTCTCCCATCAACTCCATTCTCTCCAGGAATAGTAAACCACGAAATCGTCCGTCATTCCGACAGATCCTGCTGCATCTGGACATTGCCTCAGCTGATGTACTCTCCACACCCCAGGAGACTTACTTTAAGTCACAGGTGTGCTGTGGGTAGGAAATTGAATACTTAACTCCCCCTCTTTGCAGAGACAAAGATGTCCTTTGACAGGGAGGCTGGAGAAAAGGTTTGACTGGGATGGAACTAATTGGTACTTAAAGGGCTGAGACACCAAGCATGTCCCACTCCCTTTCATTCTAACACACAATTTACAGTGATGCAGGCAACTTGAAGACTTTCTACATGTCTACTGGGTGAAGGGATGGCCCTCACCGTCATTGTCTCTCCATCCCCAGGCAGAGTGGCGGGAAGAAGTAAAGCTGCATTTTGAAAAGATTAAGTCAGAAGGGACTTGTCTGCACCGCCTAGAAGAGGAGCTGGTGATGCGGAGGCGGGAGGAGCTCAGGTGTGTGCCTGTGTTAGGGAGGTGATTTTACCAACAGCAGGAGCTGTGACCACCACCAGTTCCCAGAAACTGGGCTCCATTATGGCACCAGACAAACCCAGTTCACCTTGGGGAATGCTTCTACCCATTTCAGACATGCCTTGGACATTAGGGAGCACTATGAACGAAAGCTGGAGAGAGCCAACAACTTGTACATGGAACTTAATGCCCTCATGTTGCAGCTGGAACTCAAGGAGCGAGAGCTGCTCAGGTAACCCTAACCTGTGTTTATGCACCAAATCCCTAAGTCTTCATGGAGCTGTGCCTGATTTAGAGATCCTACTGAGCTTGGGTCCCCCTTCCTGGTCATGCTCAACTGAAAAGGTGCCTGGATCTTTAGGCGGGAGCAGGCTTTAGAGCGGAGATGCCCAGGTCTGCTGAAGTCACACCCTTCCCGGGGACTCTTGCATGGGAACACAATGGAGAAGCTTATCAAGAAGAGGAACGTGCCACAGAAGCTGTCACCCCATAGCAAAAGGTGGGACTCAAGCTCACAAGTACTGAGGCTCAAGTATGGCAAGGGGGATAATGGACAGGCAGCAGATGCTCAGAGGGGGAAGAGAGATGCATCATACTGTCCAAGGTTAGGGAATGCTTTGCGTACATAAAATTGGTAAACTCAACCTTGTACTTTTCCTTCCCTATCAGGCCAGATATCCTCAAGACAGAATCTTTGCTACCTAAACTAGATGCAGCCCTAAGTGGGGTGGGGCTTCCTGGGTGTCCTAAGGGCCCCCCCTCACCAGGACGGAGTCGCCGTGGCAAGCCCCGTCACCGCAAGGCCAGCGCCAAGGGCAGCTGTGGGGACCTGCCTGGGCTCCGTGCAGCTGTGCCACCCCATGAACCTGGAGGACCAGGAAGCCCAGGGGGCCTAGGAGGGGGACCCTCTGCCTGGGAAGCTTGTCCCCCTGCCCTCCGTGGGCTCCATCATGATCTTCTGCTCCGCAAGATGTCTTCATCATCCCCAGACCTACTGTCAGCAGCACTGGGCTCCCGGGGCCGGGGGGCAACAGGGGGAACTGGGGATCCTGGCTCACCACCGCCAGCCCGGGGTGACACACCCCCAAGTGAGGGCTCAGCCCCTGGCTCCACCAGCCCGGATTCACCTGGGGGAGCCAAAGGAGAGCCACCTCCACCTGTGGGGCCTGGTGAAAGTGTTGGGCTGCTGGGAACTGGAAGGGAAGGGACAGCAGGCCGGGGAGGAAGCCGGGCTGGGTCCCAGCACTTGACCCCAGCTGCACTGCTGTACAGGGCTGCTGTCACCCGAAGTCAGGTAAAGTATGGGAAAGTTCCTGAGCTCTTCCCCTTTTCCCTTGTTCTCCCTGGGATCCAAGTCTCATTCCCCATATATTATGCTCTTGACCTCAAGCCATTCCTTACTTCATCATTTAATAACATCTATGTTCCCTTCTCCTGGATTAATGACCTCTTCCCATTTTTTAATCACAATCTCATCTATCCTGCAGAAACGTGGCATATCCTCAGAAGAGGAGGAAGGAGAGGTAGACAGCGAAGTTGAACTGACATCAAGCCAGCGGTGAGTGACATAGTACAGGGATAATAGCACTCTTACTTTCTGGGCTGCAATGGGCAGGACCAAGCTGTAACCCCTTGCTCTCCAACATATAGGTGGCCTCAGAGCCTGAACATGCGCCAGTCACTATCTACCTTCAGCTCAGAGAATCCATCAGATGGAGAGGAAGGTACAGCTAGTGAGCCTTCCCCCAGTGGCACACCTGAAGTTGGCAGAACCAACACTGATGAGCGGCCAGATGAGCGGTCTGATGACATGTGCTCCCAGGGATCAGAAATCCCACTGGACCCCCCTGCTTCAGAGGGGGTCCCTGGCCCTGAACCCAGCTCCCTGCCCATTCCACACCAGGACCTACTCAGAGGGGAACAGGTGAGTCACAAAACAAAAAACAATCAGTATTGGATAGGGTGAGCTGGAAAAAGATGCCTGGTCATTTCACAGCTTTTGGGGAGAGATGCACAGGCCAGAAAGATAAGGTATTTAACCTTCAAGTCACCCACTTCTGAGCCAGTCTGCTTGCGTACCAGGAAGAGCAAATAGCCATGTGATGGAACTTGAGAGGCCTGTAGTACAGAACACCTAGTATGGTGCCTAATATAGAGCTTGCATGATAGTTATAAATTGCAGCCAGGGAGGGATCCTGAGAGGAGTATGGTGCCTTGGAGAATAGCCTGAGCAACTGAAACCTAGAAGCAATAAAATTAAGCTGCTGCCTGATAAAAGACCTCATTGAGGGACCCTGAAGGAATCTATTCAAAATGCCAAGAGATGCTGAGCTCCACCTCAATGTATTTTTACTCTTCCTCACAGGGCCATCCCAATTCTGAGGACTCAGACTGTGACAGCACTGAACTGGACCACTCCAACAGCATTGATGCCTTGCGGCCTCCAGCCTCCCTCCCTCCATGAGAGCCACTTTTATTTCCTGTACATAGAGAAATATTTATATAAATAATATATATGCGCCACATAATCAACAGAGAAAGATGGAGCTGCCCCAGCCTTAAGTCAAGTTTGAGGGAGCCTGATACCCTAACCAATTCACTTGATAAACTCTAGGGACACTAGCAGCTGTGGAAATGAATGACAAGCACCGCCCTAGAGCTGCGTGCAGATGGGGAAACTAGCCCTTTCCTGCTTCATTACATTCTTTATGTTCAGCAAGCAGTTAGGCAACAGAAAGCCAGGCTTGTATCTATACTCTCTACCCCCAAATACTGGTGGGCAGAGGACGGAACCACTTAGACTGCACTTTTTTGTTTCCCGTTTACTCTGTTTACACATGTTGCACTTGGGAGGAAGGAGAGTAAGGCTGGACCCTCCCCTCTGAGATTTCTCAGGTGGCAATGTAACTCATTTCTTTTGTCCTTTCATTTGTCTGCCCAAGCCCTGGCTTAGGGCCGAGGGGGAGGTTAGAAGACTGATAGCATGTGATGGCCCAGGCTGAAGAACTGGGTGCTGTTTAAGTCCCTGCTTTTATCCTGGTGCCTGATTGGGGTAGGGACTGTCATATTGTAACTCCTATGAAAAACCTTGAAATATAACCACTCCACGCAGGCCCTACTGTTGCGGGTTTTCTTGACGAATGAATGGGGTAGCAAACATGGTTTAAGTCTCAAGCTCCAGACTTTATCTGACTCTGGACAAATTTACTTACCCCCTTTATACCTCTTCTGTAAGTGAACATATCTAGCTCCAGCTTTCTAAAATCATTGGCATAAATGGTAACAGGTACATCTTTCTAAATGATTTTAGTTTAAGTATATCTTAAACACCCACTTTTGTTATAGAGCAAAGATTATAAATGAACAGTTATTAAAAAGAGACTGAAGTTTAAAATATGCAAGCCTGAGCAAAGGAATAGCCATTTCCAAGAAGCTGAATCCCGGTCAGATACACATCTGACTGCTTCCATGTATACGCATGCGTGTCCTTCTCCGTAACCTGCCCTCTAGGAAGTGCTTGCCTACTCTTTACAAGTAAGTCCTAGGAAAAGTCTAATCCCCAATCTTTTGGGCAAAAGTTTTACAAGGGACAACCAAGAGCAGAGTCAAGGGAAAATAGGATCAAGGGCCACAAAAAAAACATGAGTGGGAAAAGAGAAGAAAACATCTTAACTGGAATAAAAGGTTCTATTCAAAACCCAAGTAGAGTCTTTTGAAGGATAAAAGGTACAAAAATAACAGCAAGACAACAGGAATAAAACCCACATGAATCACTGTGGCATCCAGTTTCTATTCACAAAGAAAAAGCCGGCCATCCCTATATAGGATCCGAACCCACGGCGGGAGCGCCACTGCGCTCCCAGCACTGCACTCTCCCGAGTGAGCCATGGGGTTGGCCCACTTTTAATTTCAATAGGAAAATAATTTACGTATTCTCAGAATCAAAATAACACCTATTTTTACTAAAGCAACACCAAATACTGTTAAAATAGATAGACAGATTACTTCAGTAGTTAAAAATCATTCTGTGACCACAACCTACTAAGGCATTTTTCTCTTTATAAATTATATAATATAATGTTTTATCTCCTCTCATTAAGGAGTTTATTTTTCCAGTCCATCTTCTAATTTTTTTGAAAACTTCCTGACATTACATAACTAAACAGAAATGTATTAACATTCAACTCTTACATTTCCATGTCAAACAGAAAAACTCACGACAAAACAACAAATGAAAGGAAACAGGGAGAAGCTTATAAAACTAAATATGGATCTCAGCATTAACAGCTGAACAGAGAAAGGAATTAAAACGCTTTAATTAAAAAAATCATGAGTGGATGATAAAGTGTGTAGAAACTGAAAATTTACAAACTATTTAAAACCTGGAATCGCTGACTGTTCAGAAACTACACAGATGGATCATGGGTGGTGGTGAACAGCAGAAAGGGATTATGGATGAATCTGTATTGTTCTAGCTGCTCCCCATGCCACCCGTCTCCGAGGAAAGCCTGTAACAAGAAACAAGAACTCAGTTAGTTTTCCCAAGGCCCAGCTACACCTCACCTCTAAAACTATCAGCCTGGTTTGGAAATGTGAAGGAGAGTATCGATGAAGAAATTTTAAGGTTTCTCGGATAAACCAAGTACCATGATTCTCTAACCCCTGCAATCCAAGCTTCCTGAGGCAAATTACCTCATAACTGAAGGAAAGTGAGATATAATTGGTAACCAAGGTGCTCTACCTATGTTATTTGGAACCTTTGTGGGAGATGTTAAACATATTCTGAAAATATGCCACTCACTAAAAGCCTCCTCTTAGAGGGTCACAATGCACACAATGTTTCTTCATCACTGAGTATTTTAACTCCCCCAAAACTGCTGATAGGATACCAGTTTAGGAAAGAAATATTTACCTCAAAGTAGCCCCATGAGGTTAACACTGAGACAAATCAAAGAAGCCTTTACTGTAGAATAGCCCTGGGTTTCTCTATCAATGTGAAGGCTACTACTATTAAGAGATAACAGTTTTTAAATGCTAAGGCATGTTAAAAGGAACAGCAAATAGAATAACTATAGGGCAAGTACTATGCTCAATCCATTGTTTTCAAACCTAATTTTAAGGACTTAAAAGTGGTAAAATAGTAACGTTTCAACTCCCTAGCTCTCTCTAGATTCTCATAAATCAGTAGTGGTCTTGTCACGCCAAATCCTCCAACCAAACATACCTAGCTATATATTATGCCTTTTTGCTTCAAATGGGTCATTTGAGGCCCTGGAATCCAATTTAGGGCTTTGAGAGAAAGGTATGTATGCATTTAGCATGCTTCCGTGATACTAGATAGTGAGAAGATGTAGCTCCCATTTTGAATAAAACTAAATGTGTAAGACTCAGTTTCAGTTCATAAAGTTTTTAAAGGTTTATAGTGACCAGTATAACCTATTTATGGAGTCTGGTCACACAATCTGTATTGTATCCCTTACACAACAATACAAAAGCAAAAGCTGGCCAGAAGGGAGAAAACTAAGGGCCAATAAATTGAACAGTCCTTCAACTATAAACTATGTTTACTTTAAAGTGAGAAATGGTTTCTCCACCACGGTATGAAGGGGAATATTTAGTTTTTAAAAGGGTTCAAATTCTTGCCAACCTCAAAATACCTTGGGCAAGGTAAACAACAGGCCCTTAATGAAAGGGTTCAGTGGAAACCAAAGGTCCAAGAAAGGAACTGCTGAACATAGTTTAGGTTTGGGACCTAAAAAAATTAAGTTCATGCAAGAAGGTGGTAACACTCTGGCATCAAAGAATTCCAAAAAGAATTGTCCAGAACATATACCAAGCCTGAGCAGGGATCTGCACAGATGGGGTGGAGGTGAGGGCTAAAAGATGGGAAAACTCAACCATAAATACGTTAGGGACTCTAGAAGGACCACATGAGGGAGCTCTAAGCATTTAAAAAATTTAAACACCAAATACCTTTGGGGATGGTGATGACAGCCCCTTAAACATCTGAATTCCTTCCCAGCAATCCTTCCATAGGGAATATTCATTAGATTAAGAAACCTTCCAACCAAGAACTAGACAATAAAAACCATGTCTGTAGGGGAAGACAGTTATCAGCATGACCCCTAACTACAGGAGCTTGCCAGGGGTGAGCCAGACCAAATGATAAAGGAGCGACAAGAAAACTCCTACCTGGACAATTATGTTTGCCCATCCAATCCTTCATGCAGACTTGGGGCATGTAACACTAATTCACAGGCCCAATCTGGGATGGAGGGGTCACAATACCACCAGAGAATGAGATAATACCTTGAAATACTCATGAGCAGTTATTTTTGTTTTGTTTTTTAACATCAACCAAAGGGGATGTGGGAAGAGGTATCAGGGAAAAATCTCTATACTGAGTTCTCTAATGCCCTGGGAAGATCATATACTTTCAGTGCCCTAACTGAATGGAAGAATATCAGAGGCCTCCTATCATAAACCTAAAGCATTTCTACTCTTTTACGGGAGACATCTGTCCCATTTTGGGATTAAAAAAAAAAAGAGTAAGGCTTCAAGGAGGTTAAGTACGCTGAGTAAAAATAAAGCACAAGTTGTTAGTTCTGGCTAGTCACTCATATGATCTACAAATTTAAATTCTCTTAGTGCCTCTTTATCTATTAAATGAGAGTATTTACGAGTTACAGATTAGTTGATCTATAAGATTCTTTCCAAATCTAAGCACGTAATTTCCTACTCATGATAGTGTTGGTGGGGACAGAGAAGGCTAGGCAGAGAATAGAAGAGTATAGGAACTTGGAGACGTGTGATACTTGGTTTAGAATGACTGGACAGTATCTTGTCAAGTTTTGGGCAATATCACGGGTTGGTTGTTCAAGATCAACTTAATGTCACAGAAAGAAGGGTAATGCTAGTTCAAGAATGCAGGCAGAAGCTGCCTAACTTTATTAGATTTATTCCACCTTGCCTTCCCGTTCTGGGTAAAGAAGTAAGTTCTTTGTATATATGCCTTGGAAGAGATACAGTAACCACTCACCAGAGGAAAACAGTAGCCTGGGACAGACACCCTTATTACCTGCTACTGTTGGCAAGGTAAGGGATATGAGAAGTCAGACAGATTTCTTCACTAACGAAGTTTCTTGCCCATTATGATGGACCCTCAGTATCTAAACTGCCACAAGCCCATCTCTGTTTGTGGGAATATTGACAAAGGATTATAAAATTAACCCAGGACACAAAAAGGCCCAAGTCAGTTGTATAGATTTCCTAGGTGAGTAGCCACAGGTCACAAGCTCCCACCCTTTACCCTTCACCCTTCACAGCACACGGTGAACTAAGGTTCTTACTGTGGCAACTTTATTATAGCTAGAAACACAAATCTGGCCAAGGCGGCCTGCTGATAGCTTAACCATCAAATAATTAAAAAAAAAAAAAAAAAAAAGAATTAACGGAGAAGCTTTTATTCATTAACACAGAGCCTAACACATTGTTATATTGCAAGGCAGAATAATGCTACAAAAAAAAGGTAACAGAATGAGAAAGAAGATCAAGAACTGTGGCTCTAGATAAAGAATTCAACAAGTCAGACTCTGAAACAGGCACTCAGTTGAAATGACCTAAACAAGGGTTACCAATTCCCCCACCCCCACCCAGTTATCCCCCATAGTAGTAAAAAGGAAACAGTTACAAGCTCACAATAGTTTGATTCTCATCAATGTTAACAAAGGAAAACAAAACAAACCAAGAAATATTTGAGGAGGCACCTCAAGATATGCAATCAGTACGGGGAGAATCTCTGTTTCTCGCCTTTCAGTTTGTTAGTTACACATGGCACGGCAGTGGTGGTGGTGGTGGCAGCTGAAGCCCCAGTACCCTTAGCAGCAGACACAACATTTAGAGCCAGGAGAGGGATGGGTTTCATGCCAAGCAGACTGGAGACACAAGGGGCGGTCGGAAGAGGGTTGGGGAGGCTGGAGGGTGCTTCGGAGGTCCCCGCTGTGGCGAGCGAGGGGGTGGTGGTGGAGGAGGAAGAAGAAGAAGAAGAAGGGGTGGAGGGTTGAGAGAGGTTGATGCTGAGGTGATCAGGGATCGTGACGGAGGCTGCCTGGGAGGAGGGTTTAGCGTTTTCTAAACTGTAACAGAGGAAAAAAGGAACAAAAAAAAAAGGGTGGGTGGAAGGGAAGACCACAAAAGGGAAAAAAAGTACAGGACAAAAACTGCTTCAGTTATATCAGTGTCTCTGGTTGCCAATTAGGAAGACCTAATGTCAACTTGTGACAAGCTCTTTTAGCCTGCATCCCACCCCCGAATATGTACACTTTGCCACTTCCCATTCCACAATGCTATTTAAAACTGCTGAGGGCTGGCCGGTTAGCTCGAGTTGGTTAGAGCAC